ACTCCCCAGCCAACTTTCGACCATCCAAACCACGATTCGACTCGGATTCCCCACACAGTTGCAACGCACGATGCATTTGAAGTGGTTACATGGAAACGCGTCGATCCGCGTCGCGCGCACTCGCCAATCGGTCGAATATTTAACCCTTAGCACTCCACCTGATTTTCTAATTTCTTAGAAATTTCTAATTTTCTTAGTCCTCGTGATGAATATGAAAAAATATAACATTCCTTAGATTTTTGTCCTTAGGAAAATTCGCGTGTGCAAATGCAATCATGTTTCTTCACTTTTGATCACCGAAATGTTTAATTAAATAAAATTATTATATAAAAATGTATAAAATTAAAATTTTATTTTTTAAATTTATGTTTAATAATAATAAAATTATTAAATAAAATGTTTAATAATATAGTGTCGTAGAGCCTACAGAGTGCAAAGGGTTAATCACGCTTAACACGTTGAATGCCGCACGATTTCATGGTGGAAAATACACAAAATGGGAAAAATCAAATATTAAATCATTCGATTGAATAGCATTACTATAATTGCACGTTCATCTACCTGAATGTTACCTCATTAGGTCGCATTATTTATAATATAGAAATATTTTCGAATAATCATCGTTTAATTGAGCGAACTGAAGTAAGTCGATTTGATTGTGGCATTCAACATGTTGAAATAGCGTTTCACCGAAATTTCGTTTCCTGTTTTTCACTGTAGCACTCGCGTTGTTTTTGTGTCTCCCCCCACCGCGTCCTTTCTCCGAGTCAGGAAGATATAACGTGGCGCCTCGAACGATTCGAGTGAATTTCGAGCGTGACAGGCGAGAAGCCTGAATATAGGAAAAAAGATGGGGAAGTCGGACGAGAAGTCGAAGACCGAAACGATCGGTTTCAGCGGACGTTCGACGGCGTCTCGGTGGCGAGGGGATTTTGTTGAGGTCGGCGTTTTGCTGGCAGCTGGGTAGGTACACAACGAAATAGACTGGTACGACGGAAGAAGGAAAGTAGGTGGGTTAAGGAGGCGGGAACAAAGCCTGAGAAGAGGTCGACAATGAGACTGGATAGAGCGATGTTCGTTGGACCGATTAACGTCGGCTCGACGACGAACTCGATCGATCGTCGAGAGTCGTTCGGGAATCGATCGATTCGAGGGAACTCGCGTGTCGATGGCTGAAGCTGCTCTTCCGCGTGGACGAAGATCCGTGGTTATAGCACAGTTGAAACGTTTCGATGGTTCACAGGGACCACGGGAAAAGGGGACGTTTCGAACGAGCTACTCGTGTCCGGCGCGAACGCGAGTCTACGCACGACATCGATTTGCCGTACCGCCGTGTTACCGTGTTACCGTGTCACCGTGTCACCGTGCCATGCGAGATTTCCGATTCCAATCGGTTCTCGCGTTGATCGCTGGCCCGGCGATCGAGGCTGGAACGGCCCCGTCTCGAATCGATCTCGAATCGGACGCGATGCGATACGTCGACGTACCGGCGTTAACCTCTTGCGTTAAGTGCCACGAGATATTTTTATTTGAAAATTGTCGATGGGGTTTTGTGAATATAGTCTAGTGGCATAGATGATTTTGAGATGGATCTGATGGAAGGAAATTATTGATAAGTAGTTTGTTTATATATTGTTTAACCCTTTGAATTCTGTAGGTTCCAATATTGCTCTAGTTGTAATATTAAATATTTTAATGAATCAAAGAAACTACCCTAAAATTATTAGATTTTCTGTTGTTGATTATTAGATTTTTATTATAAGATCGAAGGAATGTTATAGCATTTTTCATTTTCGCTAGGGATACCATAAAAATACTATAATATTCGAATACTCGTTTTCTCAAACCGAACTAACCTAAATTCAGAAATATAAATTTTGTACTAAGGAAAATAAAAGGAAAGAATGTTATAGCATTTTTCATTTTCGCTAGGAATATTATAAAAATTAGTTGCAGTTGCTGATAGATTATAAAACAACCTGGAGTGATAAGGGTTAAAATAGGTGAAAATGATGAATGCGAAACTTTTTGAGTGTCTAAATCAGTTCCAGCGCAAGAGGTTAAAGTCGATGCAGAAATCGATAATCGACAGGGGTGAGTGTACTGGTAGATCGATTGATTGGGTTGGGGAATTCTGTGGTGGTTTAATTTTTTAATTCCTGATGTTTTTGATTGAGAATTTATTGTTCGTTGGTGTAGTTGTATGAAACTAATGAAAAGTATAAAATTGTGAAGTACACCTCTTGTCTCTGTGATGATGCTCTGCTGGAAATAAAATGATCTCAGAGGTGTAGGCATATTCGTATGTTTGGCACACGGTCTGTGTCGTTACGCGCGAACTACGATTATCCCTTTCTTCGGGTGCAACGCGACGCATCGTTAATAAAAGAATTGTGAGCGAATGCCGTTGAGTAATGAGACGTTTCTTCGGTTTCAGGCCCAGTCGGACGATGATGACGTGGCGGACGACGTATCCGTCAACGTTGGGGGTCAAGATGATTTCATGACGGAATTCTTCGCGGAGGTAAGCGCGAATTATACATTCATTTCCTGTTTCATCTTATTCCACTCTACTTTACCTTACTCTACTCTACGCTACTCTACCTTACTCTACCTTACTCTACCTTACTCTACCTTATTCTACTCTACGCTACTCTACCTTACTCTACCTTACTCTATTCTACGCTACTCTACTCTATTCTACTCTACGCTACTCTACTCTATTCTACTCTACGCTACTCTACCTTAAACTACTCTCCTCTACTCTATACAGTTGTACTCTATCTTATACTACTCCATTCCATTCTGTTATACTGTTCTATTCTATTCTACGCTACTCTACTCTATTCTACTCTACGCTACTCTACCTTAAACTACTCTCCTCTACTCTATACAGTTGTACTCTATCTTATACTACTCCATTCCATTCTGTTATACTGTTCTATTCTATTCTATTCTATTCTATTCTATTCTATTCTATTCTATTCTATTCTATTCTATTCTATTCTATTCTATTCCACTCTACTCTATCCTACCCTATCCAATTCTATACGCAATACGAACGTACGATCCAGGGCGGACGTCCTTTGTCTCAGCCTTCTTCGTTACCGTTTCTTCTTCTTTTGCACGGTTCACCCTTTTCAGCGGAATACCGTTGTTCTCGCAACGCGACGGATCACCCCTCATCGAAATCGATGTTGATCACAATGCAGCAAGGATTCCATGAAATGAGTTGAACGCGTCCGATCGATCCGATCGATCGGTCCGGCGATCGTCTGACCCATGTACCCCGATGGTCTCGGACCGAATGTCCGTGTTCTCCAACGTAGAGGACACCCTGATAATTTTCTCCTTCGATCGAATCAGCCGATTGCGAGATGTCGATCGAGTTTTCGACACCGTAGACGTTATCGCGACGCGTTCTTCCGTTCGCCACCGAGCGAGCCGCTCGACGGTGTATCCGTTTAATGTCTGTTCGTTTTGATCCAGGTGGAGGAGATCCGTGAAATGATAGACAGGATTCAGACGAACGTCGAAGATGTCAAGAAAAAACACAGTGCCATCTTGTCGGCGCCACAGACCGACGAAAGTGAGTTTGCCAGCTATTCCATTCACGTTTATCCATCTTTGTTCGATCGATCGACCACATCGATCCGTCGTTGCGACGGGAAAAGCGTCCGTTTCGAACGATATTCTCTGGTTCGCCGTTTGTAACGCGACGCGCTTCCTCGGGTTCTCATTTCTTCGCCTTCATTTCTCGCCTCTTCTCTGTTTCTTTGCATTCTCGTTCATTTTATTCGTTTCTCTTCTTGTTTTTTCCTTTTTCTTGCGCGCGATATACTTAGGGAAAAAGAGTTACGATCGGGACGTTTGGATCGCGAGAGTGAAGAGAACCTTCATCAGGAGAGAGAGACGGGCCAGTCGAGAAATCGGGCAAACCAGGGTAGAAGACCAGAAAAGGAATACTAGACGCGAACCTCGGAGGATGGGACGCCTGTAATCAACGTAACACCGGTTGCTCTCGCGATCAAGTTCGCGGTCATCCTGCAACCCTTCGTCACAGGTTATAACCGAGAGCGCAGCGGTGCAGTACGTGTCACTTTTGATCGTGTCTCGACGAGGATAACTCTCCGAAACGATGCCACTCTTCCGGCAACTGTCCGTTCATCGTCCGCCATGATAGCCTCCAACCTCGCTAGTAACGAAGGATTCCTTTCTCTCTTTTTCTTTCTCTTTCTATCGTCATTTTTCTTTTTCTCTCTCCTCTCTCCTTCTCTGTTTCTCTCCTCTCGAGGACAATCGCCGTCGATCTCCGTCGAAAACCCGTGTTCCCTCGACTCGTTTCGATGTCCCCTCGGTACACCGTTCCCCGCGATTGCTTTTCGTCGTTGCCCGACCGAAGCTCGTCGGAGTCTAAGAAGTTACAAGTCGGAGGAGAAATTCAAAGTTATCGGAAAGGGGTAACGCGTCCGCTCAAAGTCTCTCCCGTCGAACGACTCGGAGGAGGTCTGGCGAAGAGATCGATGCAGCTCCGTTCCTCGGCAGAAGAATATTCGAGCGGGGACTTCGTCGGAACGACGTCCTCATTCTCGTCGTAGCTTCTACTCCGTCCGTTTTATCCGTGGAATTTTCGAGCGACGCCGTTGCTCGTGATGACGTCTCGACGACGAGGCGTCGCGGAAGTTTAATGGCACGCAGGTGTCGTTTCGCGTATCACGGCTACGTCGAAACGACACGACAGGTTCGAGTTGCCGGCGTGTAGGTGTAGGTGTAGGTGTAGGTGTAGGTGTGGATGTAGGTGGTAGGTAACGCGGATCGATTTCGTTGTTCGGCGTTGCTGTCCCTCGTCCCCCGTACTACGCGCCGCGTCTCGTGTGCCGCGTACGGCGGTGCCCGCTTAAATTTCACTAAACTCGGGAGCCAGCGGCGACATTCTCGCGGGCAGGGCACAGTCTGTTGACTCGAGCACGACTCGACGAGGCGAGAGGACAGATACGAGCGAGATGGACGCAGTGACGCTCGGGACTCGATAGTTCGAAGCTATACCGCGACTGACGAGGAGAGGTTGCGACGAGTGAATCATCGATCTCGATGAAACTTGTCTTAATGAATGTGGAACAGGCAAGCCTGTCGGACATTTTCAGTGCTCTATATTCGAACAGGATATTCAATATTCAGTTGTTCCCTAATTTCAGGAGACTAGAATACTTCGCTGTATCAACAGTTTCGAGATCATTCGGAAAATCACATTTTCGGGGCGTTCACTTTTCGTCATCCCACTGGTGTGACTGTTTCCTTTCTTTCCATTGTATTCGATCTCTATCCTCGGCTACTGACTTCGTCGAACTCGAGAGTCTGATGATAAAGCGTGGACGAGTCTCGGACATTTAACACGTTAAGCGCCGTGTCAGTCACCGGTGACTGGCGCTTCTGAATGACTGGGAAACAATCGTAACGTACAAGACAACCGATGCGAAATGAACATGTTTAATAACCCGACTAAGTTGATAATCACTCAAACATTCTTCAATTCCTGCTTTTCTTTGCTACAAAAGGAAAACGCTACGGGGAAACGCTTAACATTTTCGCGGCGCTTGGCGTGTTAACGCTTTGAACTCTGTAGGCTCCAATATTGCACCAGGAATAATATTAAATATTTCAATGAATCTTAAAGAAACTACTCTACAATTATTAGATTCTCCACACATCCAAATTTTGCACTGAGAAGGAAAATAAAAGATCTAAGAAATGTTATAGCATTCTTCATTTTCGCTAGGGATACTATAAAAATTAATTGCAGTCGCTGATAAATTACAAAACCATTTGGAGTTCTAAGGGTTAAGATTCATTGAAATATTTAATATTATAAGTAGTGCAATATTGGAGCCTACAGAGTTCAAAGGGTGAGATGTTTGATGGTTCAGTAGCTTAGCAGTAGCTAGTTCTCATGGTATAGGAACATGGACTGATTCGTATTAAGACGAAGGTGTAGCAAAGTAATTAATATCTGATTGTTATAAGATTCCTTCGGTCTTTTATTTTCCTTCTTAGTAGGAAATTTGGATGTGCGGAAAATCTAATTTTAGGGTAGTTTCATTAAAATTCATTAAAATACTTAATATTATAACTGCTGCAATATTGGAGCCTACAGAGTTCAAAAGGTTAAGATGCCTCTTCTGTTTGAAACTATCTTTCGCCGCCTTCCTTCGTACTCGCCCGCGCCAACCGGCGCTGCGATAAATATACGGCCGGCAGAGTGTTAATCGTACGGATTTCATTGAAATTTAAGCGGGCACCGTGCCACGTGCGACCACAGTGCGACGCGACCGACGGATGCGCGGCTGGTCATCAATGAAATCGAGTCGAACCGATCCGAGGGTTCGTATACCGAGGCGACGCTGTCCTATATCGAACGAGACCGTTCCGGGGCTGAAAACGCGGTGGGGGCTCGATCGAATTCGATTCGAGCGTACCTCGAGTGCGACGAGGTCTTGAGAGCGAGCCTTAAAACTAGGTCTGGCACGTATCCACCCTATATTAACCCAATTCCATTGAGCATCCTCGACGCGTGCCCCACCCTCGTTCACGAATCCTTGCACCCTCGCACCCTTGAACCCTTGAACCGTTGCACCGCTATACCGCTCGCGGCTCGTTGGACATCGAGCGCCGGGCGTTGGGCGTTGGGCGTTGGGCGATGGGCGTTGGGCGTCGAGTGTTGAACGTTCGGCGCGGGGCGTCGAGCGTTGGGCCCGCGCGAATCGCGGATAGAGCGGGTCGCGCGGATGGCGCCCGTTCAACGAACTCGTCCGACTTAACGAGCGGATGTATTCTTCGCCGCGAGAAGCTACGTTCTATCGTTCGCTTTCGTCGTATAGACGAACGATAGCCGACGATGGACGACGTTGCCGCTTGGAATGTCGCTAATACGTTCCCCGAATTTTAACCCTTTGCACTCGGAGGTTTTTCGGTAGAAATATTTGAACATTAGCTGATGAGGTAAAGACGATATTTTTTGAAAGTAGTTTAACAGTAATTCATAGATAAATTAAGGAACAAAGGTATTTTATTGAAATATTTCACATTGCAATACAAAGTTTACGTTAAAGTAGTGAATATTCGGCTTCATGGTTTTGCTGCATCGAATCAAGTGACTGAGAGTCACCTTTCGAGTGCAAAGGGTTAACCTTTTAGCTACTATACGCCACTATAGTGGCTCTCGTGTATGTCATCTTTTAGTTACTGTGCGCCACTATAGTAGCTTTCGTGTATGTCATCTTTTAGCTACAATACGCCACTATAATGGCTTTCGTGTGTATCATTTTTTTAGCTACTATACGCCACTATAATGGCTCTCGTGTATGTCATCTTTTAGCTACTATACGCCACTATAGTGGTTTTCGAGTATATCATCTTCTAGCAACTATACGTCATTATAGTGGCTTTTGTGTATATCATCTTTTAGCTACTGTACATCACTATAGTAGCTTTCGTGTGTATCATTTTTTTTAGCTACTATATAGTACTATAGTAGCTCTCGTGTATGTCATCTTTTAGCTACTATACGTCACTATAGTAGCTCTCGTGTATACTATTCTTTTAACGGTACGCCACTATAGTGGCACAATTCTTTCAGTCGTCGATAGCTAAGCACAACATAATCTAATCTAACGTAATTACCCAGGAAATCCTATCAATCCAAATCGCAAAGCCACATTTATGATACGCAGACCGCGCTGAACCATGTCGTACAAAGGTACAATAGGTTGGCGGCTGGTCCCGTAGCTAAAAGGTTAAGGGATCGCAAGTTCCGATACGCTTGTTCACGGCGACAACGGGGGAGCTGGGATAGAGTAAATTAGACTTCGCGTAACGCTTAACGGTTCAGTTTGACGGTTAACTGCAGGATCTAATTAAATCGTCGTGATTTATATTCAACCGAGATATGCGATTCAATGGAAACCTTCCGATACGGGCTCTTATTCTTCTTCGCGGAGGGATTCCTTTGAATGTCGGGACGGGACTCCTTGCGATGCTTGCGAAGACTAAGGAGGGAGATTTGCAGGGATAGTTTGGGGAAAAGTGGAAATAGCTATGGATTAGGAATGGAGATTTTAGAAATGATGTACTCGGTTCGTCGTTAACACTAAAACTACCGAGCATTTAATACGATTAATATGCAATTCCTATAAAAATTGTAACAGTAGATTATTTTCAGTTTCTTCAGACACTCGTTATAGCATTGAAATGAAACTATTTATTTTCAAAATTTCGCGTCGTTGATTTCCTCTAATCTTCCTAGATTTTACCTTCGTTTCCACCCTAATTTTAATTTCTCCCTTCGTTCCCATATCATTGTTTGCTTCGCCATCCGTCGAATCGATTCTCGAAAATGTTCGTATCAGAACCAAACGATGGTTCCGCGGTCGGTTCCTGGAGCAGAGGAAGGCACGTCGAGGAAGGTGAAGGTTTGTGGGTAGAGGCACCTGCCGCGTTATTTTCGGGATTTTACAACGTGGCACACGATTCCGTTCGGCGACGAATAAATGATCGATTCTTGTGTGTTGCAGAGGTTAAAATGGAATTGGAAGACCTCATGTCGGATATTAAGAAGACAGCCAACAAAGTCAGGGCCAAGTTGAAGGGTAAGCGATCAGGGCAGCGACGCGACGCACAGTGCGGCCAATCGGCCGTTTTCTGAAAACTCGGTAACTTAAATAATACGAGCGATAGAAAAATACGCTTCAGACGAAAGCTGTGAGGTATAGAGCTAAACATATGCTGGTTATATTTTTTTCTAACATTATGGGGATATGATTTTCAGTGACAATGGACACTTTTCGATTCCAACGCGATGTAAATAGAGAAACCGGATTGATTCGCAGAGAATCGGTATTTTTCAAATGAAATTCATTCTGTATAATCAAGGACTACTTTGCGACATATTGGTGACTTTGAATATTCGTTATATTTTTTTCTCACATTATGGGGATATTATGATTTTCAGTGACAATGGACACTTTTCGATTCCAACGCGATGTAAATAGAGAAACCGGATTGATTCGCAGAGAATCGGTATTTTTCAAATGAAATTCATTCTGTATAACCAGAGACTAATTAGCGACATATTGGTGACCTTGAACATTCGTTATGCGAATAGTCGAATTTCGGGGTTTCGTCCACAGGCGTCCGCACCGTGCGACGGTTCGTCGCTGTCCGTTTGTTTCGATCGTTGCGCGCTGGGGGCCGGGCAATGACTAAAGAGATTTGATTTTCGGTGTTCAGTGATAGAGCAAAATATCGAGCAGGAGGAGCACACGAACAAATCCTCGGCGGACTTGAGGATACGCAAGACACAGCACTCGACGCTGTCTAGAAAGTTCGTCGAGGTAATGACGGAGTACAATCGGACGCAAACCGATTACAGAGAACGATGCAAGGGAAGGATACAGCGACAGTTGGAAATCAGTAAGCGTGGTTCTTCGGCTAATCACGTAAGCGTCGACCTCATCTTAACGATCTATTATCTTTAACCGATCGATTTCGCCGCTTGCAGCGGGAAGGACGACTACCAACGAGGAGCTCGAGGAAATGTTGGAACAGGGGAATCCGGCTGTGTTCACGCAAGGGGTGAGACTTACTTTTGCGCGTGCGGTGACAGTAACCCTTTGCACTATGAACCTCTTTTGCATTTTCTCCTTGAGGACTCTTTATTATTATATTATCTTTAGAATGCATTTGAAAGGATAGTTTGTAGAGAACAAACGATTCTTACAAATAATATTGAAAGTAATAGAATCTATTTGAAAAATATCTTGACAAAGAATCACACCTGTGAATATATTTGAAAAATATTTTGACAAAGAATCACACCTGTTAATAAAACTGATGTCGAGTCAAAGGGTTAACACTAGAACTAATGTTTAATACGATTAATATGGAATTCCTATAAAAATTGTAACAATAGATTATTTTCAGTTTCTTCAGACATTCATTATCACTAGGTTTACGGGCATTTATTGTACACTTCATTCTATTATTCCTAAAAGAATCGATGCTCGTTTATTTAAATTGTGGAAACTGGAAATTTAATAGTAGGTAATTAGGGTACATATCAGTGTGATCGCATCAATGAAAATCAGTGTAAACATTTACAAAATAATATTTCTAAAGTTCAATATGCGTCAATTTCACGCGTTCCGTAAACCTAGTGTCATAGTACTCAAATGAAACTATTTTCAAAATCATTTCGAATATTCGATGCTTCGAAGATATCAATAACTGCTAACCAAAAATCAGTCATTTCGACTGGTACAGTAGTTCTATCGTTAAACTCAAAGTCAAAGTCGAAACCCAGAATCAACTGACCCCGCGTTCTCCGCAGATCATCATGGAAACGCAACAAGCGAAACAAACCCTTGCCGACATCGAAGCCCGCCACGCCGACATCATTAAACTGGAGAACTCGATCAGAGAACTCCACGATATGTTCATGGACATGGCCATGCTGGTGGAAAGTCAGGTAAGGCTTCACGCGCTATTTCCGGAAATCCTCTCGAACCGGCGCGCAGCGTTCGTTTGGCAATCGGAACTAATGCCTCCCACTTTCAGGGCGAGATGATAGATCGCATAGAGTACCACGTGGAGCACGCGGTCGACTACGTGCAGACTGCGACGCAGGATACCAAAAAAGCACTCAAGTATCAAAGCAAAGCCCGACGGGTGAGTCTACCCCCTATTTCGCGTGGATCCATTCGTGTTCCGTTTGCGTCCAATCGCTCCTCTCCCGTTACCCCGTTCGCCCAACATTTATCAGCTGACGGTGTTCCATACACCGTACAGCGAATGATCCTTCAACCCAGACTTCCATTCGTCGATCACCGATTCCCTATTACTTTCGCCGTATCGTTCAATAGTTTCTATGCTTTCTCGTATCTCCATCTCCTTTTCTTTGTTTCTCTTTCTCTGGCTCTCTCTGTTTCTGGTTTCCCTGGTTTATATGTGTGCGCTGCGTATCGTCGTTACTTACAAGACTAACTGTTAACCCGATGATTCGATGCGAGAGCGACGGTGTTGCTTTCAGCCGTACCTTTAGCGAGAATTCGACCGTTTCTCCGATCGAATCTCTACTCGCATATATGTATCATATATGTACGTACATATGAATCACGTATATACGGTGGTGCGGGTACACGTGCACGGTGTTAATATATTACCCCTGGTATTTCTCGCGATTCCCTCGCAAACGCGTGGTCTATACTGTATATATTTTATATATCTATATATATATATATCTCTTCTCAACCTCCCCTTCTATTTGTACGTTCATACCGGTACACGCATCGTCGTATATACGTATGTGTCTCTCTACTTGTGTGTCGCTCTGTCCTCTTGAACATGAGTGTGCTAATTATTGTGCCTCTTCTGTCCCTGAACTGTTCGTCCCTGTTCGTAATTACTAAAAGTCTGCGTATCGCTAACCTACGCTCTCTAACACGCGTTCTCGATTTCGGTTGTGGCGCGCGACCGATCGAGAACCACGACTACTGCTGTTTCCGCTTGAGATCAGTGTGGCGCGGGACGCTACTAACAATTGCGCGGGGTGCGGTTGCGGCGGGGTTCTGCTTGATACGCGGTGTGTTTACTTCTCTCGACCCATACACGTCTACATAACACCTACATCCGTTTTATATATGTATATACTACTTATCAATATGTATGCGCGAACGTGCGCGTGCATCGGGTGATGGCTGCATCGTTCACCTGTATGGTGTATCGTCGATGGTTAACTTCGTGAATCGCTGGTGGCGATCCCAACGATCGCCGTTGCGTTCTCGCTCGAGTCGTTTCCATTGGAACTCTGGGATCTAGTTTACAGCGTCCATCTCTCCTCGTTTCTCTTCCTCGACTCACGTCGTCCCCTGTTGCTCGACACGATCCAACGGATCGGGATCGTACTTAGACACCGGTGAAGTCTGTGCACAGTTGTTAACCCTCTGCACTCTAACAATTTGTCACTGGAAATGTTCAATTTATTTTTGTGAGATACAGATGGCATTTTTTAAACTAACTTAACGAGGAAGCTATTCACAAAATCTATTCACTTTGTGAAACTGAGGAACAAAGCTATTTATTCCAATATTTTTCGTTAAATATAAAATATAAAATATTAAATATTAAACACTAAACATAAAATGTAAGATATAAAATCTAAAATATGAAACATAAAATATAAAATATAAAAGGCATAGCTGTCGCATAATCCAAACGCCCGAGTCAAGTCGCGAAAGGAGTCGAGCCGGCAAGGTAAACGAATCGATCCCCGATCCGCGGTCAGTTATCGCGCTATCGGCACGCGACGCGAAAACCACGCAGAAGATGCCGTACAAGTTGTTTCGCCTATTCGTCCCTTAATCGCGTTTCTTTACGTTTCCCTCGTTTCCGACTCGATCCGGTATCTTCCGGTCTGCTCCCGTTAAAGGTAAAATCGTTCTACAACGTCGTCGGACGTGAAATAAAATCACGTGACGCGAAGTAAATACACGGAGCGTGCATGTAAGTTTCAGTGTTCCGTCGCCGCGAACTTCCGCGAGGCAAGTGGTCAGCTCGAAAAGTGCCCATCCAGTTGCACGCGCGCGCATCGAGTATAAATAAACATTCGCTTATCTTTTTCTATCTATCTGTTCCACTCTCTCCGTCTATCCGCTCCCCTCTCTTTCTCGTTTCTCTCTGCCTGTCTGCCTTTCTATCCGTCTGTTTGTACAACCACTTGTTCGCTCATTGTCCGTTGTTTGTCCACTCGTTGTTCTTCTTGACTGTGCAAGCATATCGATATCTCGTGTCCCGCTTTTGATCGAATCGTCGCAAACTGTGTATTCGAGTTTCCTTTGAATTTCCGGGTGTTTTTGTAACGCTTTCCACGTATCGATCAAAACTCGATCGATTCGTCTTTGTCGTCGTCGTCGTCGTCGTCGTCATCGTCGTCGTCGTCGTCGTCGTCGTCGCCGTCGTTTCGATGATTATTCCGGCGATCTCTCATACGCATCGTCTTGCTTTTTTGTCCACAGAAAATGATCTTCATCATAATCTGCTTGTTAATATTGGCCGTGATATTAATCTCCATAATAATAGCGAGTGTTCCTAGAAGAAATTGAGAGCGCGGTATTGGGTGGGAGGATGCGGGGAACGTTCGTCGTGGGAACCGAATAAAACGACTCTGCCGTGACCCTCGCAACCCTAAACCGCGACGCTAAAGGTCGCCGCGACGAGGGAAACGAACGGATAGAGAATTGCGATACGATACGATACGATATGATAAAATAGGATAGGATACAGTATAGGATAGGCTATCGTAGAGTAAGGTAGACTAGGATGGAATTAGAGTAGACGAAGAATAGGTCGACGACGTTCCTGGAGGACGTTCATATACGCGCGAGCTCGTCGGTCGGCGGAGGTCAGCCGGAGAGAAATCGGCCGCATCGACCGGCTGTCCTCCGTTCGTCTAGTCTCCGACTCGCAGCCAGCAATTCGCGCGTCGACGATCATTCGTCAGTCGCGACCGGCCGTTCCGTTTCATCGACGCTCTCCCAGTTGGTTTCGGTGTAACGTCCCGTTCTCGATCAGCGTCACCGTCGCGTCCCATCGTCGACACGGTATCGCGTCCCTTCTTTCTCGTCTCCCCGCGTTTCCAAGGTTCTCTCGAGAACCGGCCGGAAAGAGGACACGCGGTGCCGAGGAATCAATTACCAGATCATTTCTCGCGTTCTCGTCCGCTCCACCGTCGTTCCGAGAACCGTCCGAGATCCGGAAGTTCCACGAAGACGGTCTCTTCGAGGATAGCTACCTCCAGCGCCGGATATTCGCGAGGCCGAATCGTTCGTTCCACGTTCCTCAAGGAGACACGCTGTCAACGTTCCTCGCGTTCGCGGTCTCGTTCGAAACACGTGTCGCGATTCGAACGAGAAAGCTCCGTGATTCGTCCGGGACAGCGGGGAGCCGACCGCCGAACCGATCGCGACCGCGGACAACGATGGTACCGCGATCGACCGCTCGACGGTTGCAATTCCGCTCGTAACGCCTATTGTGTAAATAACTGCATTTGTATAGAACAGGCAATACAATGTTTACGATTACGAACGGCAGTGTTGTGATTGCGATTGCGATTGCGCCGCGCCGAGAGCGAGCGTTCCGAGTTAGGCGACCGAGAAAAGGGACAGAGTTCAGCGGAGGCAACAGAGGCACACACACGAGCGGCGCACACGAGAGGCATCGGAGAAGGAGCCGTGTCGCACGGAGAGGATATCGGAGATTCGCGTCGCGAGCACTCTTATAATCGATCATTGTGTTTTTGCCGCCCGATGACGCCGAGCGCAGAAGAAGATCATGATCATGATATGCCTCGCCATACTCGTCGTCGTTGTGGCCACCACCGTCGGTGGATACTTTGGACTGTGAACGTCGCAACCAGGTATCTCCTTATCAGCATTCTGTCTAGAGGGTGAAGTCCCGAATGAAAGCGATAGGGCGTGCGTGCGTGCGTGCGTGCGTGCGTGCGGACAGGGGACGGCGCGCGTGGCGGACGCGCCAGAGATTACACCGTTGTCGTTTGTGTTTCAGAACAGTCCGAAGGCGCCGCCGTCGTGCGTAGAAGCGCGAGCGTGAACCACCGGCAGCGTCTCAAGCCAGACGAAGCGGACCGAAACACGGGACACCTCTTCGACGCCGTTCCTGAATCGAACCGTCGCCGTGGACCGCGCGGTCGGCGTCGGAAGCGTCGACCGTCCCGTCGACGGCTGTCGCTTCTCGTTTCTCCCTCGATCGTCGTCGTCCGGTCTCGCGAACCGACGCGCGCGTCGCGACCGCCGAACGCCGGGACGAGAAGAGCGGACCGCGAACCATCGTCATCGCCTTCGCTGCCAGCGTCATCTCTATCGCCATCTCTGTCGCCATCCTCATCGACGTCGTCCGTCGTAGCTGCGCCGAAAGCGATTCCGTCTCGTTCGATCTCCAGCGAATCCCCAACGCGACAGCGAGTAGCATCGTCAGTTTCATTCCGTTCCGCGATCGTCGATACTCCGGTGGACGGAGTGTCCCGTCCACCTAGACCGCTAGTCGTTCCTTTCCCTGTTACGCATCGTCGACGGATTCGGCTGGAACCGACGCAGATGCGACACGACGCACCGCCGCGACGGGGGAGGACCGCCCTCGAACCGTGTCCCCTCGGTCGGCCGCTCGATCGTCGTTCTCTCGCGGTCGCGCGGAAGCGACTCCGCCGAGGTCGCCCGGCCTATCGACGCGGATCGAACGGCGGTCGAAGCGACTGCTCGTGTCCGAGTCGCGAGCCGTCACGCGGCGATCCGATCGTCTCGAACCCGCGGCTCGACGCGTTTCGTATCGCGACCGATTCGGGATTCCGCGTTCTGTCATTCTATCTTTCTATCTTTCTCTTGTTCTATTATTCCCTTTCTCTCTTTGTCTCTTTCCGTGTTTCCCCTGTCCCGACTCCTGTTCCCTCCTTCCGTGTTTCTCTCGTTCTCCGTTTCCATTCGAGCTATCCGAGTCCATACTCTCCGAAATTAAAACTGTAATCGAGCTTGGAAATTAGCGTTTTGCGATCCTGAGGATTCCGGACGGGCGTCGGTGTAGTCGACGGATTCGCGTGCGTACGCTACACGTCGTACGATTCGAAGCGTACAACGTCGGTCCCGATCGTTCGGGGGATTCGCGGCGGCGCGTCCGCGCGGATAGGCTTCTTTCGGGAATTTCGGAACCACCGGGACGACCAATTTTCAATCGCTTCGCAGTGTTAACGTTTCGATCCTCCTTCGAGGTCTGGAACGCGACGGAGCTTCGTCGGTTCGCCGCGGCGCGGGACGTTGCCCAGACTTTCTTCTCCGCGTCGTGTATCTAGCATGGATATTGATAACGGCGTTTCAATTCCCTGGCTGTCCAGCGCGTTTCTCGAGGATGCGCCGAGTGGTTCGACGCTACGACGATGCAAAAAGACAACGACGACGACGACGATCCACGACGAGGACAAGGACCGTTGGAACGTCGAATAGACGAACCGTTTGTTTCGGTCGCTTCAGAATTTCGACGGAAACCGTTTCGCTGATCGTAAAAGGAATTCGTTGGAAGTCGAGATCGGTGTCTCGACGAGGTTACACGTATTCTCTTCGAAACGATCGCGGACCGGTTTCTCGCCGCGAACGAGAGAGATACCGGAAGAGGATAACGAACGCGACGCGGCTCGAAATCGAACGCGCGAAGAGGTAAAGGGTGGGGGGAGGGGGGGGGCGGTGTCTATAAAGCTGCAGCAATAATATAATATAGGTGTTATGGGGAAATAATTAACGGTAATGCAAACGTCGACGATTAATATCTGGGTCGTACCGATATACCGTGCGTACGCGAATGAAAAATGTATACATACGAATGTAAGTACACACGATACGCGTATATATATACGTATACGTTCCCGCGACGGTGATATCGTCTGCGCGGCGGACGTATACGTGTATACATGTACATATCGGATATACGTATATACATGTAGAGATATACGTATGGATATGTACGCATACACATATATCTATACAAGGTACTTCCAAAGTACCATCCGACACGCATGTAAAACACCGTGTGACACGAGCGAAGGGGGAAACAACGGAGGC